CAAGCCGAGCAATTAAAACACTAGGCCTTGGCACTGGACCCGTCACGCTCTTGGCATCCCCAAGGGCCCCCAGCCTGTACTGATCTGCATGGGATTTCTCAGCTGTCATAACCACGGGAGCTCACTCTCCTAAGAAATCACTCTTCATGAAGCTGCGTCCTGTCGATCGCCGCTCACGGAACACTCGCTGTGCTGCTTCTCTGTTGAATGTGAAAGGCAGGGGTTCTCTCGGCCTTGTTTCAGCATGCCTAGCAGACTCCAGCAACCACTGGAGTGATACACTGTGGATACACCTGCTCAGCCCATTTGCTTCTTAACTAATCCCATAAAACACAGGACAGAGGGCAATGCTACAGAAGATATTCAGACACACCAAATGACTCACTGGTGGGTGTTGTCAATAACACAAGCTGTTGAACTTCGATTAGAGCCTGACTTCACCTCTCACCGACCAAGTAGTTGCCCGTCACTGGATGCCTTTGTGTAAAAACTTCCGTAAAGCTTCAAATCCCTCCTTGGTCTTTGTTTTGGGATTTTTACTAATTCACAGAAAAAAAATTACATTGATGATATAATACAGAGAATAACCTGGATAGCACTTCATTAACTACATTTTCTTCTTTTTATTTTGTTTGCTTGTTTTTGTTTTGTTTTGTTTAGATTGGAAGGACAGATTTACACAGAGAAGGGGAAACAAAAAGATCTCCGTTTGCTCGTTCACTCCCCAAGTGAAACAATGGCCGGAGCTGATCCCAAGCCAGGAGCCAGGAGCTTCTTCCGGGTCTCCCACACGGGTTCAGGGTCCAAAGGCTTTGGGCCGACTTCGACTGCTTTCCCAGGCCACAGGCAGGGAACTGGAGGGGAAGTGGAGCAGCTGGGACACAAACTGGCACCTATGGGGGATCCCGGTGTGCACAGCAAGGCAAGGATTTAGCCAATGAGCCATCATGTGGACCCTCATCAACTATGTTGTAGGCAAGATTTGAAATTAGGTAAAGATGACAGAGAAGGCACAGGAAATTAGTGTGGTGACTGACATGTCCTTGGTCCCTGACAACTCAGTAGACACTTCAAAGCTTTCCTTTTCCCAAGGAAGCAACTCGAAGTAAATACTCACCAGTGTAACTGCGCACCATGGGGCTCTCACTGTGGCACTGATGGCAGGTTAAGTTACGCCCTGCTGGGAAGCAAGCGCAAGCAAAACAGAATCTTTATTCATATCAAAGTGATAGAATGCGCCACCCGGAAAAGAAGCAGCGCAGTGGAGTGAGTGGACACTGGCTTTACGGGAAATGGCTGGGACTTCTAAGACTTCTCCCCCGCACCACCCCCCCGCCTTTTCTCAGTCATGAACATACCGAAAGGAATGGGGGGCCAGGTGTCTAGGATGCTAGAGGTGTCTTGAATCAGAGTAATCAAGCAACTATCAACTATCTCATCCTGTTCTGGAAGCAAGGCCCGGCCTCCCACTCCCCAGGTCTGAGAGAGAAGCAGAAGGAAAACTCCCTTGGCCTTGGTTGTCTTGGCAACTCCAAGGTCTCGCTTTCCACAGCCAGCTAGTGTGGGCAGGCAGTGAACTATGGCTCGGGTCTATGAAGGAGCACCTCCTCTCCTCCTCCAAAGCTCTGGCCCTGGCCTCAGGGATCACCCAGGCCAGGGGGCGGGGCCCCAGCACCTTGCTGGGTGAGCTGACAGCAGGAAGGTATGTTAGCACACTCAGACTGTTGGCCTCTCCAGGGTCTTCTTGGGGCAGGCAGAGGCAGATGTCAGGAAAAAAAAAAAAAAAAAAGAGTAGGGCTGGAAAGAAAAGACCTAAAAAGGTGGAGTCCAGGAGGGGTGAGGGTCGTGGGGAGGAAGGTGGAAGCTGAGGGGTAGAGATACAGCAGCAGCATGGCACAAGGGCAGTCAGGGACTGCCCCAAGCAGGATGGGCAGAGGCCTTGTCAGGGCTGCTGGGGAACCTCCTGCCACCAAGGGGCCTCAAGTATGTGCCCCAAGGGCGTCCAGTCCCTCGCAAGGCAGTAATCAGACCCTCACTCCAGGCGTCTCTCTCCACCTGCCACAGGGTGAGGGACAGGGACCGGCTGAGGATCCTCTGGGATGGACGAAGGGCTCCTGGCCAAGGCTGCCAAGGCCATTCCTGACAAAGACCCAGGAAACTATATTCCAAAGGAATAGAATGTTTCCCAAAGGGAACAACTCCCAAAGCCATCAGAAACGCCCTGGCAGTATCCAGGAACTTCTGGAAGCTTTGGGATCAGACATCAAACCGATTTTGGAATTGCCCCCAATTTTAGAAAGATCTCAGGGACATAGGAGATGATGGAAAATGGCGAGGGAGCAGCTGAAATCGGGCCTGCCCTTCGGGAGTTTCTGGAGCCCGTGACTTTCAGACCTAGGCAGGACTCACAATGTATCTAGTACATTGCTAGACACCTAAATCCTCTATAGTTTAGTTCTTATATGCTAAAAAATAGTCTACTCTTGATGAGTGTTGAACATTTTATTTGAAGAGTTTAATGTGTAAAAAAAAAAAAAGTACACAAATACAGATTACATCATGGTAACTATAGCAGTACTACATGAAAAAAATCAAAACAAGTTTATAAAGTCAACGTACCGGCACTGAACAAGCCTGAGACTTAACAACCAATCCAGGCTGCATATGCATAAATGATCCGGTTACATGCTTATGTTAAATAGGTTTTCTCTTGGAACACCAAAATTACAATTCAAGCATTCTGACTGTCCACTGCCTTATTTCCCTGGTGAGTATTCTGAGAAAATTTCTCAATAATGTTAAACACAAACAAACAAACAAAAAAAACTGCATGGCACTTAAAAACTGGAAAACAAAACAAAATAAAACAAAAAACACAATTAAGAATACATTTGTAATGCAATTCTATATAAAATATACAATACATCTTAGTTAAAAACAAGATTTAAAAACAAAAGACCTCTCTGAATAATGGTTAAAATTTTGTAGAAAAATGCTTATCATTTATACATTATTGGTAGAAAACTAAAAGGATCTTTTTGGGGGATGGGCAGGAGAGGGAGACACTTAAAGAATTTACTTAAAATCCTAAGTTAAAGAATTTACTCAAAATTGGTTAAAACTTGTACCTGGGCTTATAATTCATGCTCATTTTTCAAAATGTCCTATCATAAATACTCTTTAAAATTTAATTGCAGGATTTAAAAAACAAAACAAAATAAAACAAAAACCAAAAAGCAACCTACAATCGGGTCCAAGGGTCCAACAGAATTCAAAAGTAGGCCCGATAATGTAATAAGGTCCTTTGAAAATTCGTGGAAAAATAGAATTGGATGACATGTTTACTTTGGTGCCAAAAAAAAAAAAAAAAAAAAAAAATCAAGCGCATGCATAGAGTCCTTTGTGATGTGTGTCTCCCGGGAGTTTTCCGAGGACTCGGTAAGTGGCTGCACAGCCTCCAGCTTGAGAGCCAATGCCCCAGGGCACCAGAGCGGCTACAGAGCCAGACCAGGAGCCCCTTTCTGACATACAGAGCCAGAGTCCTCCAAGTTTATGGACTGAAGGCTGCTTTGCATTTTAAACTAAAGTCTAGGTACTACAGAAACATGAGTATACCCCTCTAACTTGTGAATATACCCAAAACAGGTTTTTTTCCCTTAAGGTCTTCACGCTTAGTTATTTCAAGACAGCACATTGTCAGAAACTTTGAAAAAAATGACGTTTCTAAAGAAACGTAGCACTTAAAAAAGAGAAAAAAAAATATGGTAACTGATTAAATGTCTAAAAACTTTACATTTTGGAATTGTAAATTTAAGACTAGACAGATTCCCTAAAGTAAAATTTTACTAGGATTAGACAACTGTAAATATTTGAGATGATTATGGATACTTTCTAAATCCGCTTGCATAAAAAATTTTAAATAAACATAAGAACATTATATCTGGCACATTTAAATAATAAATTGCTAAACACTAATATTAATAATAAAAAAATCAGAGTAACTCTGCCCCTGAAATGTATCTCACCATGTATTACATGTATTACCTACTTAATAAAAACTCACCTACAGCGATGGACCTGTGACATGTCACTGTAGTTGTGTTATCCATGTTTACCTATTACTGTTCTTGTATTTCAGTAAAATTCCATAAATAGATCCAAAAAGTACACTTAATGTGTTTTTGGGTATGAAAGAGGCATAGCTAAGACAGCCAAAAGATAATTATTTTCCTGTATACTAAATCATAAGGAAAAACACACATTCTGCCTCAATGCAAGAAATGCAATATTATTAGATATCTGCTAGCAATCTGCTAATAACTTCCTTTTTGTTTATATCAAATCACAAAAGGCAACTGTGGGCTCACTTCCCAATAATAAATAAATATTTCCATTGTACTTTTCTATGTCTAAATTTGCATCCTGGGTCTTTCATACTACATATTAACATTCCAGTTTCCACTAGAAGGGTGAGCACAAAAGCTACCTTCTTACATTAAAAATGATTTGTGTCTGTTTTTCAAAAACAGCTAGTGATTTGTAATTGGCTCTTTAACATAATGTATCTGTTTTTTTAACTCAACAAGAATGTATATTCCCCAATTTTAAGCGACATCTCTTTTTGCCAATTCAATTACTGTTTTAAAACTCAGTAAGTTAATTACCCAAGGCAATGGTAAAATTTATAGCTGAATTGTTAAACAATAATTCTGCAGCTAAGAATAGCTAACATTAAAAGTTGCTATACTCCGAGTTAATCTTATGTTCTAAAATTAAATCCTCAAATGGCTTCACGGAGAACGACAGAAACGATCGGAGGCTTAGGATGTAATCCTACTGTGTATCTACTGCAGCAGAAACTGCCCTGCACAGCACTGGTATTTCCTCTCAACAACAGACAGCTCCGTGTGCATCAGTAGGCCTCCAAGAACCAAGGAACTGAATTTTGGCATGACTGTTTGGAAGCTAGTTTGAATTTTTTTTTTTCCATAGGTAAATGTAGATGTAATAATTGGCTCTTACAACAGAAGGTACTGTTTTTTTTCTTTTGTTTTGTTCTTGGTAAGTGGCAAATATAAAAAGGTGAATTGTGTCCAGGTTGGCAGCAAGTTTATCCATGCAGTAAATGGCAACATGAGCAGAATGCAGAGTTGGGAACTGAAAATTAGACACATTCTTCTGCAGACATCAACAGCGGATTGATGTACTCGAAACCTTCAAATTCAGACTGGTCGATTTTCCTCACAATGTCACTGTGAAGGCAAAAGCACATTTATTTTAATCGCAATCAATATTTCTTCAATCTTTAAGCGGTACAAAAAATTAGTAAAAATTAAGGTTAATTACAAAATTTGTGAAGGAAAAAAAAATCCCTACTAATTCTTGCATTAATTTCAAAATATGTTTTAGAAAAGTCAAAGTCAGAACCAAAATGAATCCAAAAACAAATTCAGGTACAAAACTGAAGATTGGGGAAAAGGCACAAGATGACACAATTCCTATTCATTTTAATTTCTGACCTGAAAACCATTCTTAATTAGGTGAATATCCACGTCTAAATTAGCATCCAATGTATTAGTCACTTCAACAGCAAGACAGAAGATGACGAAAGGCGGCCCAGAAGAAGTTACCAAATGGAAAAGGCAATAGCAACAAGTGCCCTGAGCGACCTGGAATAGGGAGGAGCTAGTCACGGGGAGCAGAGTCTGGCAGTCTATTGCACTGGGCTTCTACTCAAGATGCAGTAAGAGGGAGTGGTACTATAGATGCTGGAACACCCAAATGTGCACACCTTACCACAGAGCACAAAGTAGGAGAGGACAGTCCCTTCCTTTAAAGAGCCACGTGTGGGGGGCTTGCTCCCACACTGGGAAGTTGTAAGAGAAAGCAGCACCTGCTGAACTTCATATACAACAAGCTAAGTCCTGAGCTAATAATTAAAGTTCAGAGAAGAGTGATGTGGCTTCTAGGCAGGGAAACCAAGGGGGCCAGCCTTCCCTCTCCTAGACTTAATGGATGAATTATAAACGCTTGTGCAAGGTCCCCAGAAACACAAAGATTCTACAGTACAGCACAGGAATAAGAGGGTGTTAAAGGGTAGATGACGCTGGAAGGAAACGAAATGCCCAGATAAAAGCAGTGAGTAGATGTGACATTAAGGAATTTCTCTCTTATCCATGAAAGATGTGCTTCCAGTTGAGGATGGAAAGACTTCAACAGGTAAAAATGATAGAGGAATGGAGATTTGCCATGAGCGGAGAGGCTGCCACTCATTACTACCAGTCAATGGTGAGTAACGAGGCTGATGCCAACACTTGTGCAATAATGAGACATGGATAAAGTCAGCCAGGAAATGTGTGAGGCCTCAGACGTTACTAGATTTCAGCTTCCACACACTCCTAGGAAAGGGAGGAGCCAGCAATCACTGACACTTTGGATCTGAGTGACAGGAACGTAAGGTGGCACAGGGAGCAGGAAAGGTAGACGAACAACCAAGCAACCCCTGTAGCACTGACTGGAAATGTAGCTTAGGAAGCAAGCTATCAGGGCACAGGGGAGGTGCTATAAAAATCAATACCGGGCCCGGCACGGTAGCCTAGTGGCAAAATCCCCCTGCCTTGCATGTCCAGGATCCCATAGAGGATCCAGTTTGTATCCCAGCTGCTCCACTTCCCATCCAGCTCCCTGCCTGTGGCCTGGGAAAGCAGTCGAGGACGGCCCAAAGCCTTGGGACTCTGCACCCGCGTGGGAGACCCAGAAGAAGTACCTGGCTCCTGGCTTCGGACCGGCATAGCATTGGCTGTTGCGCTCACTTGGGGAGTGAATCATCGGACGGAAGATCTTCCTCTCTGTCTCTCCTCCTCTCTATATATCTGACTTTCCAATAAATAAATAAATCTTAAAAAAAAAAAACAAAAACAGCTCTCTCCACGCTGGCTGAAATCTTCCTGGTACAAACTGCACATGGCAAAGACAAGACTGTGCTGAGCAGAACCAAGGAGCATGCTGGCCTCAAGGCGACAGGGGTCACAGGTCAGACTACCCACAGCAAGGCCATGAGCACCAAATGCCGTGCAGGCATCAAAGGAAACGAGGACTGAACAAAAACATGCTATGCATTAGAAATCATGAAGCTAATTCAATATTCAGATGCTCCTGGAGCTGGTAAACGGTTAAACTGTTGGCAAGAAGAAAGGACAAAACAAGCCATGCTGGCTAATCCGAAGGAGTCTGATAACAATACTGCTTACTTGTCTTTCGCCATGTGCATCTATTAGCTGATTGTTTTCTAAAAAAAAAAAAAAAAACCTTAAAGATGGAATAAAAAAAAAGTGATGGTTCAAAGAGCAGCAATAATCGAAAGGTAAAATGTCAGATAAAATCTGTGCATGTTTGTAGATAGAGGGAAAGAAATGGAGAAAATTCAATCAATCAAAGAAGGTGGAGGAAGCGGCTTGTCTTGCAGCAGAGGGAGGGTCTTACAAGAGCTGAGAGAAAGCAGCAGATTGGGAAGAATCGGCGAGCAAGCCCCAGGGGCGAGGAGGTCCCGAGACAGATGGCAAGGCACCACGCAAAGCACCACTGCTCGGAGCAGAGAGGCCTCAATCTTTGCACGGAAGCTAAGGGAAAGTTAATCCAGAAAGAGGGATGGAGGCAGGGGCTGGGCTGGAGTCTGAAAGAAGGGTGATTTACAACAGTTGCTCAGAGGAATGTGGCAAGAATTAAGATATAAATAAAATGACTGCCGAACATTAAGGGCCTCCTTGAAATTAGAGAAAACGAATCAGTAAAAAGAGGTGAATGATCAAAATATCCCTAAATGATTCTAAATTACACTGCAAAGGATGAAATGTAAACACAACACAATATTTCAGATCACTGGCTCACTGGATTTGACAATTTGACATTGTCCTTTTAAAACAGTTGGTAAAACATATCAACAATGTTAACGTTTTCATACCCTCCGGCCTACTTCCCTTTGTCCGCTCAGGAATTCAGAGAAAGATGGTCATCACGAAAATGGGAGACAGAGCAGTGCGGTAGAAACAGCACAGGTCTTGTCAGCCACATCTGGCCTTGAATCCTGACCCTGCCACCTGACCACTGTACAACTTGGCCTAATCTCCCCATCTGTACAATGAAGATGACGGTAACTAGCTCACAAAGCTGTTGACAGAATTAGAAATAATGCTTATAAAGGAACGGCAGCTAGTGTCATAATTTATTAGTGTAATAGACTCAGTTATCCAGGAAATGAAATGAAAACATAAATTACAGCATAGTCTGATAACAAAACACTGTGCAATCACTAAGAATGGAGGTTTCAAAAATGTTAAAACATCTCAAGGTACAGAATTACTTACTCATCATCTGGTGTGAGCTGGACAGGTTCATTGGTAAACTGAGAATCAAAGTTGTCTAAACCAAACTCCCCAGAAATATTCGGTTTAAAAGGAGGCACCACCTGCTTTTGCTCCATCTAAAAAGACACATCAGACGACAGTTAAAGCTGATATTCTCGCATGGGTCCATGGGATTCACATCTATGAACACGAACAAAGGCTTTAACAATATTACAACCTGCTCAATTACATCAATATCTAATCTTTGGGCTTTAAAAGTGTACTAAGAGGTACCTGAGGGGTAGTTTTAAGCTGTTTAAGCTGTGATATACGTGTTTGCTTGACATTCCTTTAAGCCCATACAGTTTGAAGGTAATAACAAAACCAAATATAAAAAACAACCAAAATGTACATACCATATCCCAATCTACGTTTCGGAAGAATGGGTGGCCCTGAATATCAGCAAATCCTGTTTGAGGATGACAACCCAATCGTTCCTTTGGATCCTATAAGAGAAAGAAACTTTAAGAACTGGGTGAATGCTACGCTTTAAAATAAATCACCTTTTCAACAGGTGCTTTGTGGCTGTGACACGTTAACTTTATTTCTGAAGTTAGAATGGCATACCTTTTATTTCTAATAAGTATAATACTACAATCAATAGTTATTTGAAGTATAGTTTATTTATGGCTATTTATCATGTAAGGGGAAGTAGAAAATTCTTACTACTTCTTGTTAAAGAAAAATACAGCAGCACCCAGCTACTCTTATGGTTTGTACTAGAACAACATTTGCAATAAGCAACCCCCAAACTTTACCACTAGCTTGTCCTTTAGCTCAATTCAAGATAACAACAAACCATAATCTGAGTTAAGCAATGATACAGCCACTATCTGAACTGCTGAACTGAAGGAACTTGCAACCTAAAACACGCCTTGGCTTATTCATGACTATGGATGAGAACACGAGCCTATTTTCCTTTCTGATAAGAGGCATTTTACTTTGCATATTAACACCTCTTGTATTTATCTTTCATTGTATGAAAGATTAGGTTTCAAGTTTAAAATACTTCCTCCCATAAAGCCAATTCAAACACACCTCAATTTCTGACTTTATTCATTTTTGCCACTGTGTATTTATCTCAGAAGATAAAATCACACCAATCTACTTTTTCATTTATTTATGTAAAGCAGAATTTATGACTCACAAAATTACAATTCTAGATTTTAAAATTCTTCTAGTACCACAACTGCAACAAACAATGCTCAGATTACTTATTTGATTTATTTGAGAGGCAGAGGGACAAGGAGAACAGGGAAGAGGGAGAAGTAGTTCTTATTTAAAAATTCACTCCCCTAAACAGGCAAGGGCCAAAGTCAGAGGGCTCAAACTCAGCCCAGATCTACATGGGTGCCAGGAACTGAACACTCAGGGTGAGCCATTACTATGGCTCACAGAGTCTGCATTAGCAGGAGGTTGGAGCAGGGTTAGGTGGTACTGAGCCTAGCTACTCTTTCTGTTTATGGAAAGACAGATTAACAGAGAGAGACAAAGATCTTTTGTCCACTGGCTCACTCGCCAAGTGGCTACAACAGCTGGAACTGAATCAATCCGAAGCCAGGAGCCAGGAATTTTTCCCATGCAGGTGCAGGGTCCCAAGGCTTTGGACCATCCTCCACTGCTTTTCCAGGCCACAAGCAGGGAGCTGGATGGGAAGTGGAGCAGCCAGGACATAAACCAGTACCCATATGGAAACCTGGCACATCCAAGGCAAGGATTTAGCCACTAGGCTGTTGTGCTGGACTAGGTACTCTTTGACGGACTATTCCAGACAGCAGTAGTAGGCCAGACACCAGCCCTGATAGGGCAGCATTTCATTCTTTTGATATAAAAATGTATAGGAAGCAAAGCTGTTTTAAGTATTAAGAAAACTGATGATTGGACCCAGCGCCATGGCCTAGCGACTAAAATCCTCGCCTTGAACACTTCCCATCCAGTTCCCTGCTTGTGGCCTAGGAAAGCAGTCGAGGACGGCCCAAAGCCTTGGGACCCTGCACCCGTGTGGGAGACCCGGAAGAAGTTCCTGGATCCTGGCTTCAGATTGGCATAGCATTGGCTGTGGCGCTCACTTGGGGGAGTGAATCATCAGACAGAAGATCTTTCTCACTGTCTCTCCTCCTTTCTGTATATCTGACTTAAAAAAAACACACACACACAAATTGATGATGACAAATAGACTGTATGAATAGTAGAAAAGAGCTTTGAGGCCATTTAGGACACCCACATCCTGCTTTCACTCAAGGTTCATACATACATAGGCCTCGGCAGCCCCAGATGGCTCAAATACTGAGTTCCTGCCATCTATGTAGGAGACCTTTGGGGGTTCCAGGCTCCCGGCTTTGTCACGGCCCAGCTCAGCCATTACAGGCATTTGGTGATGAGCCAGAGGATGAAAATTTTGTCTCATCATCTTTAAAATACTGTTTTTCTTTCCTCTTTTTTTCTTTTTGGTAAACAGACATCATATGTGTAATATATAGAAGAAGAAATTAAAGTGACAATTGGAAAGCACAATTCATCTCGGGACCTAGTCAGCATTGTTCTTCGTGAGCAAGCTGTTTTTTGAAAAGCGACAGATTTGGTTCATTCTCCAAATGGCACAACAGCTGGGCGGGGCCAGAAAGAAGTTAGAAGCTTCTAAGTTTCCCATGTGGGAATATTTTCCCTGGAATTTAGCAGGGAGCTGGATCACAGGGGAGCAGCTGGAACTCAAGTGGTGCATATGCTGGGAGTACACCTGATGGGGGAGCTTGGGGAACGACTTTTTCAGGGTGCAGTCTCTGTAGGTGAGCCCAAGAACCAAGGCAAGGGGCAGCCCAGACTAGGTCAGGTTGCAGTATCCGCCAGCATATGTGCGACTCAGGTCTGGGGGCGGGCCAGGCTGGGCCATTTCATAACACCCACTGACAGATCTAAGAACCAGGGTAGAGTGCAGGACAGGATGGTTCAGGCTGTAGCACTAGCCAGTTCATATTAGGGCCGGGACTAGGGAATGACAGTGCTGTGATGGGCAGCAGCACCCACCAGCACAAGCTGGAATGGGGGCAGACTGAGCTGGGGCAGGTCAAAGTGCCCACTGTTGGCAAATGCCAAGGTGAGACGGGCCATGCCAGACTGGGTTGCAGCACATGTTAAGAGGCAACAGGGGGGTGAGCTCGGTAGGGAAGTAGTGGGGTTCCCCTGCAGGGCCACTGCTCCTGCTGGTGAGAGAGAGAGAGCTGGTACTGGAGGGCAGAACAGGCTGGGCAGAGCTATAATACCTGTTGGCCTACACGTGAACTGGGTTAAGGGGAGAGCCAGTCTGGGCTAACTGACTGTATTTGCTGATGCAGGCATGAGTCAGTATAAGGACAGATTGACTGGGCTTTGCTGCAGCATCAACTAGCAAGTGCTGGGACTGGGGGTAAGTCCTGTTGAGCTAGACTGCAGAACCATCTAGAGAGTGCAAGATCCAGGGGAGGGAATAGGTCCAGTAAGAAGGCTGTGGGGTCATCTCTGATGGGTTGCAACTCCCACTGGTGAGCATGAGGACCAGGACTGGGGGTAGGCCTGGCTGAATAGGCAGTGACATCTACTGGCATGAATGTGGGCTGGAGGGTGGAATCGCTTGGGTTGAGATCTGAATGGGATGTGGGACAGAACTGGACCAGTCCACTGCACATGCTGGCAGGCACAGGAACCAGAGCTGGGGAGCTGGTCCAGTAGGGATTATTGGGGGACACTCTGACTGGGCTGCAGCTCCCCCTGGTGTAAGTGAAGGCCAAGTGTGTGTTGGGCAGGGCAGGGCTGGGCTAGGCTACAGGACCTGTTGCTCTGCAGAGGAAGGAGGACAGAACAAATTGAACAAGCTATCTCAGGGAAGTTTGACTGCAAATTTCTGTACCAATGGAGACTGTGAGGTGGACTGCATCGGCCAGTTGAGCTTAGAAGGATTTCCTCATCCTTGCATCAGGGAGATTGACAGCATCTCAGAACTATCGAAGCTGCTTGAGCAGAGTCCTCAGAACATGTTCCCCAACAGGAACCCTGGGATGACATCAGGTAGCCATTCCCCATGCCTGGGTGCTGGGGTGGTTGGGAGCCTGGGTGTGGCTTCTCCGGTTACCTCCCCCCTTATCCCAGACACAGGAAGAAGAAAAAGAAAATGTGTAAACAGCGTCTCACCTACTTTCCCCTGACCCTCAACCCTTCCCACCCTGATCAACTATGTAAACATCATCAAAAATTAGAGAGAGAAACAAACGATGCATATGGAATGTAAACATCACAGATGGATAATGGGCCCAATAAACAAATTGTGAGCCTAACTTGGAACACTGCACACTATGCTGTTTGGGAATTCTACATTGCCTCAGCTTCTATTCAGCAGTATGATTACAAGGAAACAAAGCACTTAAATTTTCCACATCATGCATACCTTGTTGAGGAAACTCTTCAGGACACTTGCAGCTTTTACAGACAGAGAACGTGGTATACGTATTTGTTTTTCCAAAATAACTAGAAAGATAAAAAGTACGGTATTACACCTGACTTCTACAGGATGGTTAATCTTTTATTATGAAATACTTAAGGTATTCCGACAGAGAAAGTAAGACATCACACACACAACAGAAGCACCTCATTTTCTCTCCCTCTAGCACACCACCCCCACCTGCTTCTCAGACAGCCTCTGGCCAGTGCTCTGCTTATCATCCATACGCTTGTTCTTGGCCTATCTCACTATGTTGCAGTTTCTGCATCTGCCAACTAGAAAAATGTTACTCACTTCACAGGGCTGAAGTGACGTTAAAGGAGTTAATATTCCTATCAGAGTGGGAGGGAGGATGAGAGGGAGGCACAGGTTGGTTTTCCATCTACAGGTTCACTTCCCAGATGGCCACAAGAAGCATCTATGGTCAAGGCTGAAGCCAGGAACTTCGTCCAGGTCTCCTTCGCACTTGGGTCACCTCCTGTTGCCTTAGAGGCACACTAGTGGGCGCTAGACTGGGGGGGGGGGTGATGGGGCGGTGTGGCGCATTCAGGCCATGAACCAGGGCCCAGCAGGGATGCAGCATTGCAGGCAGTAGCTGCTTTACCCACTATTTTGTAACATCAGCCCCTATTTAATGACTTTCACTGGACATTGTCGATTATTCTCCAAAGCTCTTGTGTGTCCAATTTCATCCCCAGACCCGGCACAATAGTGTAGCAGTTAAAGTTCTCACCTTGAACGCACCAGGATCCCATATGGGTGCCGGTTCCAATCCGGGCAGCCCTGCTTCCCATCCAGGTTCCTGCCTGTGGCCTGGGAAAGCAGTCAACAACGGCCCAGAGCATTGGGACCCTGCACCCTCATGGGAGACTCTGAAGAACCTCATGGCTCCTGGCTTCGGATTGGCTCAGTTCCAGCCATTGTGGCCGCTTGGGGAGTGAATCGTCGGAAAGATTTTCCTCTCTGTCTCTCCTCCTCTCTGTATATCTGCCTTTCCAATAAAAACAAATCAATCTTTTAAAAAAATATTAAAATTTCATCCCCATCCAGAGTCTATGAGAGTTCCAGTTGCTGCTATTCTCAATGGCACTGATATCATCAGAATTTACATTTTTTTTTTTTTTGCTAAATAAGGTTATGAAATGGTAGACCATAATATTTACATGCTTATTTCCCTATTTATCAGTGAGGTTAAATCACATTTCACATACTCTTCATAAGCAACTGGGTCCTATTCTATGAAACGCCTATTCACATTCTGTCCTGGATTTAATCATTAAGTATAGAGGTAGTTCTGTGGTTCTCTTCAAACTTTCTTTGGATTGCACCTTGCACGTCCCTGTGTTGACTTTGTGTTTCTCACCACATGACCTATTCCTCCCCCCCTCATCTAGACCACTCCTGTTCCTGGGGTCTGCTACCTACGCTGCTCTTAGGCTTCCCACTCAGCCCCGAGTCCCTGGTGTCTCGAGCATCCTCCAGCCACAGAATCCCCTCCCTCAATCGATGTGACATATGTCCTGGAAGCATCTGCTTGGTATGATGTGGAGTAGGTAACTGCAAACCGTTTAAGGAACACAGAGGCAGAAAGGGTGCATCCCAAAACAACAAAACAAAATCAAGATTATTCTGCTTTTATCTACGCAGAGACTTGTTGCCCCAGCGAAGCTATATAACACACTGCAAATTACCTTGGAAGAGATAATCCTCTGTGTTTTGATCAGGGTTATCAGAGCTCCCAACAATATCAAATGGAGATCTTCCTGCCATCATCTCAAACATCAATACTCCAAGAGCCCACCAGTCGACACTGAAACCTTCAGGAAGGCATTTCAAAGCAATAAATTATCCACTTTGTATTCTTGAAAGTCAGTTATTAGAGATCCATTTTATCACATAACCAACAAATTTATTTTAATAAGTAAAATCAAAATGCATTATTAACTATCATGCTAAGCACGGGAGCTTACAGAAATATTTTACTTATCAGCAAATAAAGCTATTTAACAGATAACTTTAAAACTATGAGAACAAGTGTTTATTTTTTCAAATACATCCTGTAATTTGATTCATTCTATATGCCGAACAGTTTTGCTTTGAGGTTATAATTAAATCATACTTGAGAATAACCTTTTCTGCTCTGCAACATGATGCTAGCTGATTTAAAGATCCTTGAAGGACCTTGCATCCACATTGTGAGCAGTTGTTGGAAGTACCACAACTCTGCAGAAATCACAGGACCAGAACCTAGGGGTCAAATGCTTCAAGAGAAAACAAATGTAGTCGATGCATCAACGAGATGCAACGAGATGCATGGCGGAAGCAGCTCAAGCAACCGGCGCTCTCTGACAGGTGCACAAGAGCCCCATGGCTGCCGACCTGAATCCTGACTGCCGTTCAGCTGGATGACGACACACAGGCGATTCTTATTTTCTGTGTGCTGGCAAACACATCTGCACAACGAGAGCCAAGAGTGCTTACCTCTTGGGTTGGTGAGAGCATTAATTTAGTTAACGTAGGCAAGCCACTTGGAAGTGTATGTGCTGCTCTGTGTGGCTAAAACTCAAAACTGTATCCCCAGATAATGCCAAGGTCTCCATCTTTTATTTCAGACTTTGCGAGCCTTGAGAGTTTTAATAGCACCAGGAAAGTTTATCAGTACTAAAATGCGGTAATACACTAGAATGCAATTGGTACCACATTAAACCACCCACTCAGAAATAGCTAAAATACCATCTGCTTGTTATTACCATAATCTTCTCCTCTTAAAATTTCAGGAGCAATGTAATTAGGAGTGCCACAGAAGGTGCTAGTTGTATCTCCTGGACGTAATCCCTCCTTTTGTGGAAAGAAACAAACAACAACAAAAAAACAAATAAGTTCCAAAACTGCTTTAAATTTACCTTTCCTATTTCATTGTTTACGTAAGTTCAATTCTGTAGGTAATACACTAAGTTCATATAACATCACCACAACAATCGCCTGTACCATCTTTTTTTTTTTTTTTAAGAGAGGGGTCCTACTTGCTGGTTCACTTCCGAAATGCCGACAGCTGCCGGAGCTGAGTTCGGGATGCAATTGTAAGGCAGGAATGCTCTCTGGGTCTCCTACTGCATGACAGGAGCCAGGAACTTGAGCCGCGGCCACTGCCTCCCATGGTCTGCACTGGTAGGAAGCTGCACTCAGGAGCCAGCGCTGGGAATTAAATGCAGGCGCTCCAAGACAAACATGGGAATCTTAACCGTCTAGGCTACATTTTTGAGCCTGTCATTTTTTCCTTTTAAACATTTTGTTATTGATTTGAAAGGTGGAGTCACACACACGGGCCATCTTCTGCTACTTTCCCAGGCACATTCTCAGGTTCTCAGGATCAGAAATGGAGCAGCTGGGACTTGAACTATGTCTCCAACATGGGATGCCAGCATCACAAGTGGCAGCTGAACCCAATTCATGACAATGCTATCTCTATTTTTTTTAAAAGATTGTATCTATTTTTATTGCAAAGTGAAATATATATATATATATATATATATATATATATATATGTAGAAACAGAGAGAGAGAGAGAGAGAGAGAGAGAGAGAGAGAGAGAGAGAGAGAAGGAGGAGAGACAGAGCGGAAGATCTTCTGCCCAATGATTCTCTCCCCTCCCCAAGTGACTGCAATAGCCAAAGCTGAGCTGATCCGAAGCCAGGAGCCCAGAGCTCTTCCAGGTCTCCCACGAGGATGCAGGGTCCCACGGCTTTGGGCCATCCTCGACTGCTTTCCCAGGTCACAGGCAGGGACCTGGATGGAAAGTGGGGCTGCCAGGATTAGAACCGGTGCCCATATGGGATTCTGGCCCATGCAAGGCGAGGACTTTAGCTGCTATGCCACTGTACCGGGCCCTTTATATTTTTTTAAAAGCATGGTTTGCCACTAAAGAGCATGAAGAAAATCTGTCCTAAATAAGTGTTGCTAAAAAGCTCATTGAAGATATTAATTATATCCAAGATACTCTATAGTAAGCTAAGATTTAACAAATTTAAATTATGTAATAAAAATGAATAACATCTCACAAAGAAAATAAGCACTATTAAATTTCACCTACACATAAGCCACTGGTAAGACTGTAAGTGTTTCTTTCCAGTCAAGGTCAAATTTGCTTGGGCAAGCAGAGGAAGATGTCCTAAGTACTTAGGTCCCTACATCCATGTGGGAACCTTGGATGGGGATCCAGGATCCTAGCTTCAGCTCTGTTGAGTGCTGATCACTGTGGTCTTTGGGAGAGTGAATTGGCAGATGGAAGATCTCTCTATATATAACTAATTTAAATTTTTCAAAAATCTTGAAGAAAGGAAAAAGAAAGAAAACCAAGTTTTCTACCCACGCTTTCTTTGAGTCATCTAAACTAGTTCTGCAGAGATAATAAGAAATAACAGTGATTATGAGGTTATGTCAGCCACAGATATTTGGGGCACAATGTACATACTTTTCTTTGAATTTTAATACATTTTTAAATTTCCTAAATTGACAATTGTACCAATTTGTGGGTTAAAGTGTGACACTTCCACACATGTACACAATGTGCCCTGATCAAAACAGAGGAATCACCACTTCCCTTTTGTGGATATTACTTTACCAGTGGAGGCTTACAGGTTTAGCTTTCCATTTGTTCCTACAATACGCATGAGGTTATCCCTGACAGGGAGTTTCCTTATTAGGCTGAAGGAACGAATTCCTCCAACCTGACAATGATTTCATACCCCACTACATGTTAAATCACTATAAACACCAAGGAGAAATATCTAGCCAAAAAAAAATTTGATCATATTAGAATGTGCAAGAAGCAACTATGCAGGCCTGGCACAACATGTGTGGGGATCCCTTAAGGTTGTGTTCTGGTTGCTCCACTTCCCATCTAGCTCCCTGCTTGTGGCCTGGGAAAGCAGTGGAGGATGGCCCAAGCCTTGGGACCCTGAAACCATGAGGGAGACCCAGAAGAGGTTCCAGGCTCCTGGCTTTGGGTTGGCTCAGTTCTAGCCGTTGTAGCCACTTAGGAAGTAAACCAGTGGATGAAAGATCTTTCTGTCTCTCCTGTACTCTGTAAATCTGACTTTCCAATAAAAATAAACAAATATTTTAAAAGTTGCTTGATTAAAAAGAGAAATATTAGCCAATGTGAATCACAGAGGACACAAACCAGGAAATAGGAGAGGACCACACAACAGCAAAGGGGTACCTGGAGACTGACAGACACAGGAAAGCAGTGAACACAAGGCTGTGGTGACTGATTGATTACCCCAGCAGCCAGGTGGGAAGGAACTTTCACTGGGAGTTCAGGAGGTGAACCCAGAAGGGGAACTGCCCATCCTGCTTGTCTGATTTAACCAGGAGCAGAGACAGAGCAGCAGAAACAGGGTGGATTTTTTGACCCAGTCCGCCCCCCTAGAGCCTAATCAGATGTGTTTTGTTTAGGGAGGTAAGGGCGATGGACAGTACTGCACATGCACTAAGCTGGGAGAGAACTCATTTCTGGCTCAGAGAATGCAACAACGTGGCATCCTACAGTTTCCACTGAAGACAGGTCAGGGTAGCTCTCAGATCTGATGGCCAACAGATCAAGAACTCTGGTGGTGGCACATCAGGCACCATTTTGTAGAGTATGTAAAAGCTTTAAGACTGCAGGGACAACAGTGAGCTGTGCATGCGCTGAGCTGAGAGAAGACTCCCACAGAAAAATAATACCAACTGTGGCATTGTATGGGTTAAGGTAGGTTCTTGTGACCATCAGACCTAATGGCCAACAGGTTCTGGCAAGATCAGCACCAACAACAAGCTAGCTATATAAGACACCTGGTGTCTCTCTAATCCTGGGACCTGTTCCAACAGAAAATGGGAGAAAGGGTGTACAGACAATGGTGCAGCCTCAGCACAGGATCACAGGAGGTAGAGACTGGTGAGCTAGGAGCTGGACTACGGAGACCATGGTGGAAATCTAACATAAGAACGCAGACCTGGAGCTCACTGGAGGGAGTGGCATAACTGACTGCAAACAAGGAGCTGCGTACCAACTGCAATAACTGAAATTGAATTGTAGACCAGTAGGTGACAGAGCTTAGAAACCTGCCCCAAGGGGAGGAATCTGATAACCCAAAGTACAATGATGAAGAGCAAAAGAAGAGACAGAGGCACAATGAATATTACTGAAGACTCCCCTGCAAAGGAGCAAAACCTTTTGCCAACCTCAGAATTTACTGAGGAAGACATCGAGAAATTGGGGGAAGAGAATTCAAAACACTTGTCATAAAGCTTTTTATCAACAACGAGAAGCATGTAAAACAGGCATTTAAGGAACTCAAAGAATATGTCACACTGGGAAGGAATCAAATGAAAGCTAACTAAAAGCAAACTAAAAATACACTGGAGAGTCTCCAAAATAAAAGGAAGGAGGCAGAAGAAAGAATCTCAAAATTAGAAGACATTTCCTGTCACCAGGCGGAAGCAAACAGAAAGCTTGAAGCAGAGCTGGGTCAAGATAAAAAGAAGTATTCAAGAACTGGAGAACACTATTAAAAGGCCAAATGTAAGAGTTATGGGAGTCCCAGAAGGTGCAGAAAGAGAAGCTGGGTTTAAAAATGTATTTAATGAAGTAATAAGGGAAAACGTCCCTAATGTAGAGAAAGAATTGGAAAACAACATCCAGGATGGGCACAGAACTCCCAACAGCATTAACCAAAAGCCATCTTCACCATGACACATGATAATCAAGCTCCCTCAATCAAACATAAGGAAAAGATCCTTAAACGTGCACGTGAAAAAAAAAATCAACTGGAATGCCAATTAAACTAATAGGAGACCTCCCACAAGAAACTCTCTAGGCCAGAAGAGAAGGGAGAGACATAGTCCAGATTCTAAAAGCAAAAAATTGTCAACCTATGATAACGTACCCAGCAAAACTTTCCTTTGTCTTTGAAAATGAAATATAACTAGTCCACAGTAAAGAAAAGTTAAAAGAATATGTCTCTTCCAAACCTGCTCTACAAATGATACTTAAGGATGTTCTCTTGACAGAGAAGAGGAATAGCACCCACCAAAACCAAAGGCAAATGTGAAGAACATCCCAGTAAAATGACAACAGAAGACTAAATCAATGAAAAACCCATTGCTAAAATGACAGAACCAAAATACCACTCATTCATATTAACCCTGAATGTAAATGGATTAAACTCATCAATCAAACTTCACTAGTAGACTAGATTAAAAAACAAAACCCATCTATTTGTTACCTACAGGAGACACATTTCACCAACAAAGATCAGCAGAAGCTGTATCTCATGGATTCTGATTTTTGTTAGTTTCATCTCTTCAAAACAGTTTCTTCATATTAAATTTTGCACTGACTCATAGATTACACTGAAGCATCATTTCTTTCAAAAAGGATTCTTGATTTTCATGTCTTCAGCGAAACTTTAGGCACTCAGTAGCATGTTATTTAACTTCATGGTGTTTTTGATTTCTTTTTTCTGCCTGTTATCGATTTTGTTTTGTGGCTTTTCATTTAAGGGGATGTAGAGTAACTGTGTAATGGAGACTGTCATATCCAGATGTGAGGATGCAATGCAGTATGCATCTCTACTTCCAGACAAAGATGGACTTTCAACAAAACTGTTAACTGTATCTTGACAACAGGATGCTGGACTTTCTGCCATTGTCCATGGCCACATTGATGGACATGACTGTGTATGAAGAACTATACTACACTAATGATATAACAGAACTCAGTAAGGGAGGAGGAAATCGGGGAAGGGATAAGGGAAATCCCAGAGCCTAAGGAACTGTATCATAAAATGATAATAATAAAAAAAAAGTAAATTAAAAAAAAGATAATGAAGAAAAAATTACTTGATAACGAAGTTACTATTAATCCTTTTGTTCAGCTTTATTTTCTCTTGAAAATGGTAAGACTTCCACGGGTGCACCAAATGCTAGATATTAATATTTAAATGTAAAAGATATAGATGTTCAAAGAAAATCATGAATGCATAATTAAAGTCACTATCTAATGGCAAATGAGACTGATACAGTGATTGTTCTAATTCCCATCCAGCGCCCTCACTGCTGGCCCTGGAAAAGCAGGAGCGAACGTTCCAAGCGCCTGGGTTTCCACCTCCCGTATGGGACACACGAATGCGTCTCCAGGCTCCTGGTGGTGTCAGGGCTCGGCCTAGGCTGCTGTGGCCATTTGGGAAGTAAACTGGTGAATCTCTGTGTCTCTCCTACTCTCTCCCTCTAAGTCTGACTTGCAAATAAGTCAATCTTTTTTTTTCAAAAAGTCTTATTTTTGTACAAAAAGCTTTGAAATCAGTACAGCTTTTTCGTATGTATTTTCTATGAATTTGTTGGGTTTATTTTGGTAAACATTTATTTATTCTTATGTAAAAGGTAGAGTTACAGAAGGAGGAGAGATATAGACCTTCCATCCACTGGTTTACTCTTCAAATGGCCACAATGGCCAGAGCTGAGCTGATCTGAAGCCAGGAGCTTCTTTCAGGTCTCTAACGCGGGTGCAGTAGCCCAAACATGTGGGCTATCCTCTTTTGCTTTCCTAGGTGCATTAGCAAGGAGCTGGATCAGAAATGGAGCATAATTAATATTAAATTTCTTAGCTTATACCAAATTCCTGACCAAATATTTTAATATTATGAATAATGCAAACTTGTCTTCAACTGATTGGTTCACAACCCCAATAAACTTTTTATGGCAGAAAAAAAAAAAAAGAAATGGAGCAGCTGGCACTAGAACTGGCGTCCCTATAGGATGCTGGCACTGCAGGCAGAGGTTTAATGTGTATGCCACAGCACTGACCCTCTGTTTTCCCTTTTTAAACATGAACTCTACCAAGATAACTTTATGAGCAGCTGAAGATCTTTCCAGTATCCAAATACTTTTCCTTACCTTACACATGCCATAGTCAGTGAGTTTAATGTGCCCTTCAGAGTCCAGTAATACATTGTCCAGTTTCAAATCTCTATAAATTATGCCTCGCTCATGAAGATAATTTAATGCTAGACTGATTTCTGCAGAGTAAAATCTAAAATAAAAAGTAAAACATTTTATTCAAATTTTTAAATGGTAGTAGCAATTTACACACCTCAAAGGCTTCTCCCAACTGAAACAAAGCACCAATTATAAATCTTTTCATTCTATGATTTTAGCAACAAAAAACATCAAAGGCCAAAACACAAGTATAAAGGCTCCAGTTCACTGACATACCTTGACAAAGTTATTAATTTGAAAACTTCAAACAGGAGTTCTTAATTTGTGCCCTGAATCAGGTTTGGACATTCCAACCTCCTAGCAGGAAGGCAAAGCTGGACATCCTTGAGCCTCCCCATCTTGATCACCTCTCTAGAGACGAATGACACATTCCCAACTGCCCCAAAACTAAGACCCACTAGCACAATAAAAAGAATACTGAAAGTTGAGTATTCAAATCAAAAAGTCCACATCAAAACTTTTTTGTTAGATGAAGAATTGAGCTATTCTATAACCACAAGTAACAACATTTAAAAATAACCATCGACTCACTCATAATAATCCAGATTTTGGCCTTACTACTGAAAATGAAACAACCAAGGCAGATCCCAGCTGCTTCAGCGCCATATCATCATGACTGCGTTTGGAGGCAGACAAAGCAAACCTCCTTAGCCACTTTAAAATCCATGATTAGGAACCTGAGTTCCTATTTCACTCTTCGGCATTCAGAAGACAAAAAAAGGAAACCAGAAGTCATATTAAAAATTAGACTAGAATCCTGAAGACCAACTGAACAAAAAGAATTGAACGTTTGTATGTTCGCAATTCAAAATAACATCTGTGGCTTGCTACATATTATGTGACAAAGCTTGAATTTATACAATGAACACAAATGAATAGCAAATTACAATACACATATACTACAATAACTTATGTAAATTAGCTTTTAGCTAATCTCTATGTCTTACAAAGAAATAACCATTATAAAAATAATATCTACCTTCTTCAACCACTGCACATAAACAGTTACACAGCCATTAAAAACGCCAACATAAACAACAAATAACTTTACCTGGCATGTTCTTCAGGAAGTTTACGTTGTCGCTGCATATGAAACATTAGATCTCCTCCATTTACATACTCAATAACAAAGAACAACCTAGAACACAGGAGAGGGCCAATGAAGCCAACACCCAAACTAAGGCAGTGTCACCAACTTTCAAATCCTGCAGAGACCAGTCACAACACACACAGCACCCTCGGACTTGGCCTTTGGAAGATGCCAAGAATCTGGGGAAGATGAAGGGGAAATGAATCAACTACAATCTTCATTTGAGGATTTTTCCCATAGTTCAGTTCTAGGAAACTGTGTTTTTTTTTTTTTTCAAGACTTCTTCTCCAGTATGGCAATAGGCCACAACTGTACCTAGGCCAAGTGTTTTACTGTAGGAAGAAAAGCAGCTAACAGCTGGCAGGAATCCCGAGTCCAGTTAATGCCAAATCTATAGTGTGCCAGCATAATCACCTAGTATATTTTAGTTTTTCTTTTTTTCCCTAAAAATATTGGTGTGTGTGTGGGGGGTGGGGGTCCAGGTCTGTGAGCCACAGAACTGGGTGGTCTGTTGGCCCTGGGTGCCAAGCAAAACCCACTGGCCACCTGGTGGCAAGCTATGGGAGCTTGGTGTGCGGGGTTGCCCAGGGTGGAGGATGGCACAGGTGAGGGCGTACAAGGACATGAGGGCTCATGTTCAGGACTGGTGGTCTGATTGTACAGTTCCTGTGTCAGAGCTGGACCTCCTCAGGGGAAAAGACGGAGCAGTGGATGGCAAGCCCAGATACACGGAGGATATGGCAGCCCAATGAGGACTGCTGAGGACATCCAGTGCCATAGCAGAGGCAAAAGGGTACAACAAATTGGACAACAACCCCAATCAAATGATGACAGCAAATATCTGCGGAAATTGAGACTCTAACCTCAACTATGTTAGCCAGTGGACATTGGAAGGATTTCCTCATCCTTGGTTCAGTGAGATTGACAGCATTTAAGAAATATCAAAATATATAATAATAATAAAAATGATCAAAACCACTTAAGCAGACCCTCAGAACATGCTCCACATCAAGGACCCTGGGATGACACTGAGTGGCCCTGGTACTCAATGTCCCTGGGTACTGGGATGGTTGGGAGCCTGGGTGTGGCTTCTCTCCTCTTCTCCCAGATACAGGAAGAAGAAAATGTGTAAACAGCGTCTCACCTACTTTCCCCTGATCCTCAACCCTTCCCACCCTGATCAACTATGTAAACATCAAAAATAAAAAAGATTTCTTTATTTTTATTGGAAAGGCAGATTTGCAGAGAGAAGGAGAGACAGAGACGTTCAGTCATAAAACTAAAATCCTGACGGCTGATGCCTTGATGAAGGAGGCTAAGCCTCCATCGTGGCACTGGCATCCCACATGGGTGAGAGCCGGAGTCCCAGCTACTTCACTTCTGATTCAGCTCTCTCTGCTTCTGGTCTGGGAAGCAGTAAACAATGGCCCAAGTATCTGGGCCTCTGCCCCCATGTGGGAAACCCAAAAGAAGCTCCTGGCTTTGAACCAGTTCAACTCCAGCCATTGCAGCCATTGGAGAGTGAACCAGCAGATGGAAAATCTTTCCCTCTGGCTCACTGTCTCTCTGTATATCTGCCTTTCAAATAGTAATAATAATACAAAAATTTAAAACAAAACATAACTAGAATCATGGCAATATTTAAAATGGTGGGTATCTTTAGCCCTTGATATAATCTGGTTTTTATTTTTCTGCTTGAAGCATGTCATTTCCTAATGCTGATCCTGTCAGACTGGTACCACTGATTAGCAGGAGCATAAAATCCTGGTGCTCTTCTCCATGATTTCCACTTCTTTCACTGTAATAAGCAGGATATTATATTATACAAAAACAGACAAAGTTCAGTCATCACTCTTATTTTTTATTCTTACCTGCTTTCCGTCTGAAAGCAAGAATGCAGCCCAACCAGAAAGGGATGATTTGATGCTTGCTCAAAAACATGCTTCTCTGTTTGTACCCAGTCAATATCCTATTTTAAAATAAGAAAGAACTATGTCATCAAAATTAATAATAAATTTTGTTTTTAGCAATTCAATAATCACAAATGCAATACTTAAACAGGCTAACTATCAACCTAACATCAATTTATGTGCAAGGAGAAAAATCTTTGTACATAAATCCTTCAGCATTGCCAAATTCTCTGAAAAACTTTTATAAAACTGCTTGATTTCCTCTGATACTAACATAGTTTGATTTTCATGGCTTCTAAAAAACCTAATGGGGCCCAGCGTGATGGCTAAATCCTCAGCTTCCACAAGCTGGGATCCCATATGGGCATGGTTCTAATCCCAGCAGCTCCACTTCCCATCCAGATCCCTGCTTGTGGCCTGGGAAAGCAGTCGAGGACAGCCCAAAGCCTTGGGACCCTGCACCTGTGTGGGAGACCTAGAAGAAGCTCCTGGCTCCAATCAGCTTAGCTCCAGCCATGGTGGCTGCTTGGGCAGTGAACCAGTGGCAGAAGATCTTTCTCTATGTGATTCTGCTTTAAATTAATAGTAAATAAATCTTAAAAAAAAAAAAAAAAAAGAAAGAAAAAAACCTAATGAAATATGTCAAATTTAAGTATCTCTTAGAATCTGAAATATATATGTAAGAAAAATAGACTGCAATAACAAGGCACATTGGGGCATTTACTACAATATTATCTTTAAACATTTTAGCAGTTTAGAAATAATAAAACTTCACTGTGCTTACCTCATCATCATTGACAAGTTCTTTTTTCACAACTTTCATTGCATAAATACGATCCGTCTTTTTCAATCGAACCAATAGCACTTTGGCATAGCTTCCTCTTCCAATTACCCGGAGCAAATCAAAATCTTGAAGACCCAAACTGGAAGAAGCTTTGCCACTTTCCCTAGTGTTCATTGCCTGCGGAGAATGTTTACATCAAAAAGTCAACCTTAAAAAAATATTTACATACTATGTTTTTAAATACACAGTCACACCAACAATAATTTTAAACATAAAAATATTTTAAGCTGGCAATTCTTTTCTCACATCATTCAAATCACGTCATCTAGTGTGCACCCATGTGGGAAAACTTGGAAGGCTCCTGGTTTCAACCTGACCCAACCCTGGCCACTGCAGCCATTTGGTGAGCAAGCTGGCAGCTGGGAAGACCTCTCTGTCTCTCTCTAACTCTGCCTTTCAAATAATTAAAAATAAGTTTTAAACATAAATAATTACAGGAAGAAAGTCAAAGTGGGACCAAAAAGTGCAAAGCATGACATAATCTCTTTCATAGTATAAGCTCTTTTTAAAGGGTTAAAAAAAGTGTCAGTTGAAATACTTAATCCTTCATATTTTTCAATGTGCAACCTTACAAAATGGAATTATATCTATATTCTAATGTTTTAGAAAATACATTATAATTTTAGATTGCTATCTTAAAATTAAAATAGATCATATTACTAAATTATTTTTTCTAAGTTAAATAAATAAATGAGTTAAACAGCAATTACTAAACCAATCACTAATCTACAGTCACTGACAATCAATCAGTCCTGTTTTACAACCCAAAACTCCAAGTAGGTCAATGTGTCAGATTGTGTGTAGATTGTTCAGTCTTATTAAAAATACGAAGGAAGAGTACACCGTAAGATAAATTATCTTACCTCCTTTTCTTCACCAACTTGGTCCAAACTCTCATGACTTGAGGGATTATATGGAATTACTAAAAACACAATTTAAATGAATGAAAAACATTAATTCACCTAATAATGAGTGTGACATGAAGTTTTTTTCATGACTTAAAAATTTTATTTCTAAGTTTTCATAATTTAAACCTGCATACTTGCCCTACAAAAATATAAAGCATTATAATTTTTAGTTTGAATAAAGAGAGCAACTAGCAATCTGATATCCAAGTAGTGCTCTGAAGAAATATTTGCATTATTTTTTACACACTGCTTTTAGAATTAAATCAAATATAAGGTTAACTCTAAATTCCACCAACCCTCCAGCATGAGGTAATGTTTCATTTTCCACATCCTTCATTCTCAAAATGTTTCTGACTACCAGGAAAAGTCAAGAATAGAACTGACAAAAATGAGACTTGTACTTAAAGCTACTTGGGTGGTAAACATCTGGCTTAGTGGTTAAGATGCCTGTGTCCTGCATCAAGCAGACTCTGGGAGGGAGCAGACAGTTCAAGTGCAAAGCCAGGACCGAGTTCCCGTCTTTTTGGTGGGGGAGCCCCAGCTTGTTGGAGGCATTTGGGGCATGAAACTAGCAAATGAGAAGAGCTCTCTCTCAAATATACAAATACCAATTTTCTAGCGCTAGTTTGGGTGACATCAAACTGTATTTCGCATCCTCAAGCTCCTTCCATGATACTGCATTCTGTCCTTCCAAACAAACGCCCTGCCTTTCTGTTCTTGATTCAGTCCAGGGCAGATTGGGATACTCTAACCTCCTTAATTCATCTCCAAATTTCCTAACTTTAAGGTCTTCATCTACCTATCCTATCCTGTCAACTCATATCATCTTTTCAGAAATTCCCTTGCTTTATTTCTCCTATATTAAACGTCAATATTTGATAATAAAGGCTTTAAGAACAAACAGATTGCTTGAATACAATCAACATAGTCTACAAAAATGAAGTCTGTTTTTTCATCATGGAAAAAAATCTAAGTTTGCTGAATACAAAGGAGACTTGGAAAAAAATTATATCAACTAGAAGAGACAGTCATTTAAGCAACACAGTTATTTTTTTAGAATGCCAAATACATATGTTAAATAGTGTTGACTAAAATGTTCATCAGACACCTACTTTTGAGAACATAGATGTTTCAACTGTGGGCAAGAGAGGAACCTGAAGAAGTCTCTCAAGGTTACTTCACTAATGCACCACAGTTCAAGCAGAGGACACGCTTACCTGGCTGAGGATGGTCTGAATGCATGGACTGGTCCATGGGCATAATCGGTTCCTAGGAGCAATTGCAAAGACACAGTGACTGAGTGCATGCCTTTCAGACCCACCACCTCCATACCTGCAGATGCACTGCTAATCGGCATTTAAATTAGAAACACATCTACCAGGTGAGAACTGCATTGTTTTACTTTTATAAAATCATTTGATGTGTCTGTGAATGAAATAATGCTAGTTATATCTTACAGAAAAACACAAAATTAAATTACAGATCAGCAAAGTCAAACTTAAACCCTAACTACACTGATTTCTTTCTTTCTACTCTTCCTTCACACTCTAAAAAAGCCAATATTAAGGAAAAAACAAAAATCACAAATGTAATTTATCCTGCTTATTGTGGATATTTTTAGGTGTCTACATTATAGTGATTTTTCTTCTAAAAAATTATTTATTTTTATTGGAAAATCAGATATACAGAGACCAGGAGAGACAGAGAGAAAGATCTTCTGTTCAATGATTCACTCCCCAAGAGGATGCAATGGCCAGAGCTAAGCTCTTGAAATCAGGAGCAAGGAGCTTCTTCCAGGTCTCCCATATGGGAGCAGGTTCTCAAGGCTTTGGGCCGTCCTCGACTGCTTTTCCAGGCAACAGACATGGAGCTTATAAGAAGCAGGGCTGCCAGGATTAGAACCAGCACCCATATGGGATCCCAGCATGTGCAAGGTGAGGACTTGCTAGGATTAGACTTGCTGGGCTACCACGCCGGGCCCTACAGTAATTCGCCTTTAAAAACAGTTCCTTCACTCCAAGTAAATCATGCTTAAAATAAATGATGAAGAGTTGAAGGTAACATGAGTCTTCTTTTAAAGTCCTGTGTGATAAGCAGCAGCCAGTAATGAGCAGTGAAAGATGCAAAGTAATCACCGATTTTACTACCAATAAAAACAAGGAATAAACATTTGCTTTCACATGCCCTTAAACATTTTCCTTCACACATTCAGAAGTTCTAGACTTCCCTATCGATGCTGAAGTTCCTGGCTTCGGCTGGGTCCACTCCAGCTGATGTGGCACTTGACGAGTGACCACCAGATGAAGATCTTTGTTTCTCTTCATTTCTCTGCCTTTCAAATATATAAAAAATTTTAATGCGATATTTGCAACTCAGTATGTCTACTTCTGAATCCTTTAAGGAAGTAAGATTTTTCTCCTAGGAAATTTATCATGATATTCTTTATATGAAATTTTAGAAAACAACTCAAATACTCAGTCACAAGGATAAGTTACAAAAGTCAAATAGAGCACTATAACAAACTAATACTAAAAAGGATGGGGATATGTACAGATAAAAAAGATAACAAAAATATAGTGTTCAGTGTAAAACAGAAAATAGAAAATTGTGCTTATACGATCTCATTGTTGTTAAAAATGTATATAAAAGACAGTCACGGGGCCTGGCGCGGTGGCGCAAGCGGTTAAGGTCCTCGCCTTGAACGCCCGGGATCCCATATGGGCGCCGGTTCTAATCCCAGCAGCCCCACTTCCCGTCCAGCTCCCTGCCTGTGGCCCGGGAAAGCAGTCAAGGACGGCCCAAGGCTTTGGGACCCTGCACACGCGTGGGAGACCCAGAAGAGGCTCCTGGCTTCGGATCGGCATAGTATCGGCCGTTGCGCTCACTTGGGGAGTGAATCATCGGATGGAAGATCTTCCTCTCTGTCTCTCCTCTCTGTATATCCGCCTTTCTAATAAAAATAAATCTTAAAAAAAAAAAAAAAAGACAGTCACATCTTGGGCCTGGTGCAGTGGCCTAGTGGCTAAAATTCTCCCCTTGCATAAGCTGGCATCCCATATGGGCACCAGTTTGTGTCCCGGCAGCTCCACTTCCCATCCCATCCAGCTCCCTGCTTGGAAAAGCAGTAGAGAATGGCCCAAAGCCTTGGGACCCTGCACCCGCGTGGGAGACCAAAAGAAGCCTGTTTCCTGGCTCTAGATCAGGCCATTGCAGCCGCCTAGGGAATGAATCAGTGTGCGGCAAATCTTCCTCTGTCTCTCCTCCTCTCTGTAAATCTGACTTTTTCAATAAAAATAAATAAATATTTTTTTAAAAAAGACACTGAGGAATAAATGCTTGAGTGACAAACAAGCAAAATAAACCAAACTAGAAACTAGAAACTACTGAAAACAAATCCAACTGTAACATAAAGGAAACAAAGCAACATATTAAACCTAACTCTGCAGAATATGATTCTGCAGTATTTTTAGTGACAAAAAACAATGCTTCTGCTACAAGACAAATGTAAGGATTGCGATGGTAAGAGGGGTAAATGGAGAGGCCAGCAAACAACACAAAAATTCAGTTACAAATGGATTTCAATTGGTTCCTAACTCCAATGAAATTAGAGACACAATTACACTTATAAAACAACGAATTCTAAATAAACATTTCCTAAAAGGATAAAAATTTATTGGGATATCTGAGATGTATTTCAAATAACTCCGAGCAAGGGTCGGGGAAGTACTTGGGAATTTGGATAGCACAATCTGTCAAGAACTGCTAGCTGAAGCTGGGTAACTAGTATGAACAGAGGCTTACTACATTGCTGCAATATTCTTACACATGCCAAAATATATTCTTGTATAAAAACAAATTACATGAACTCAGTAGTGGACTCGGGGCAGGTGAGCAGCACCCCAGGGCCTGTCACAGACTCGGCCGCAGACATGATAGCTGTGAACTGTCCCAGGAATGGGGTTTGGGAATGCTGAGGAAATACATTGCAGGTGAGGAATGACTTCTGGGGACTTCCATGGACTAGGCCACCGAAGTCACAGGTGGTTTGGAGAGAGGGAAGCTGAAGGACATGTCTGGGACAGACTAGGACAGCAGTCCACGTGGGCTAGCTAGCACTCGTGCACATGAAAGCCAGGACTTGGGACCTGTTCCGGCAGGAATAGGCCACAGTATCCATCAGTGAGTGTCAGGGCAGAGGGTAACCCATGACACGTTAGGTTGGGCCATGACACTAACCAACACATGAGAGAACAGGGTCTGGGGAAAGATTCTGAAGGGAATTTATGGGCTCATACCTGTAGGACTGATGGTCTGGGTGAGAGCTGGCAGTGGTGAAGGCCAAGCTAGGCACGAGCAGAGAACTCACCAACGCTCATGGTAACAAGTTCAGAGTAGGGGAGGTTGCCCCAAGCTGCAGCACCCACAGGCACAACCAAGAATTGGGTGTAGGGACGGGCTGGAATACAGCATCCATCAGCACTCACCAAGAATGAGGTTGGGGGTTCAGTATGCTGGGCAGGGCCACAGCATCTACTGAGACACGTGAGATCCAGGTCTGGGAGCGGGCCCCTACTAAGCTGAAGCTCCTGCTGGGGAGCCTGAAAGTTGGGGCTAGTTGTAGGCCAAGCCAGGCAGAGATGCTCCAATTTTCAGCAGGGAGGACCAGGCAAGGCCAGGTCAAGTCATAGCACACACAAGCATACATGGGAACCAGGATGGGTGTGGGCCATCATGGGGTAGGCTTCTGTACCTGCCAGTTTGCATGAAAGCTGGGGCAGGCTGGTCTGGGACAGGCTGGAATAGGGTAGGACGCAGCAATCTGATGGCAAACGTCAAGACAGAGGATGGGTTATGCCAGGCTGGTGAGAGCAACGACTGGCAGGCATATGCAAGACTTGTGGCTGGTGGGGCCCGGTGCGGTGACCTAGTGGCTAAAGTCCTCGCCTTAAACGTGCCGGGATCCCATATGGTTGCTGGTTCTAATCCTGGCAACTCCACTTTCCATCCAGCTCCCTGCTTGTGGCCTGGGAAAGCAGTTGAGGACAGTCCAAAGCTTTGGGACCCTGCATCCATTTGGGAGACCCAGAAGAGCTCCTGGTTCCTGGCTTAGGATCGGCACAGCACCGGCCATTGTGGTCACTTGGGGTGTGAATCATCAGATGGAAGAGCTTCCTCTCTGTCTCTCCTCTAATCTGTATATCTGCTTTTCCAATAAAAATAAATATAAATAAATAAATAATAATAGTAAAAATAAAAAGACCTGTGGCTGGGGGGTGGGCCTGATTGGGGGGCTAAGGGGACACTCCAGCTGTCCTCTGGTTCCCACTGTTGAGTATGAGAGCCAGAAAGGGGAAGGTTTACAACAGGACTGGGACTAGGGGTTGGGCTAGGCTGGACTAGGTCGCAGCACACACCAGCACAACTGGAACTCTAGGTAGGCAGGGCTGAGCCAGGCTGCAGCACTTACCGGCAAATATTGAGGCGAGGCAGGTCATGACCGACTGGTGGGCAGCACCCACCAGCATATGCAAGACTCCAGGGGGAGGGTGAGCCTGGCAGGGGGCACTGCAAGGGCTCCAGGCTGGGCTGGGTAACTATCTGCTGCTACAGATAGTCAGATTAAACACAGGCTGGCCGGGCTTTGCCACAGTTATCATCTGACAAGTGCCAGGACTTGGGACAAGTACTGTCCAGGCAGACTTCAGTACCATTTGGAAAGTGCAAGATCTGGGGCCTAATAGGGAAGAGGGGTGCCAGGAGGGAAATTATGGACATTCCTCTGATGGGCTGGACTCCCACTGGTAAGTGAGAGAACCAGGGATGGGGGCCGGCCTGGCTGGACAGGTGGTAGCACCTGCTAGTATTAGTGTGGGCTGGAGAGTGGGGTCGATTGGGCTAAACTAGGTTACAGTACCCATTGGTGTGTAGAAGAGCCAAAAAGGATGTGGGTGGAACAGACTGAACCAGTCTGCTGCACACACTGGCATGTACAGGAACCAGTGCTAGGGGCAGGCCTGGTGGAAGTACCTAGCTGTCACTGTACTAGTGTACATGAGGGCACAGTGTGCAGTGTGCAGGGTTGGGCTGGGCCGCAGCATCTGTTGGTTTGCATATGAGACGCGGCTAGGGACAGAACTGACCAGGCAACTGCAACAACTGGGTTGTGTGTAGCCTGATGTGGGTGACGAACTGAGCCGGACCTCACACTGACTGGCACACACAGCAGTCCGGTCTGGGGTCACCTCAGGAGAGGTCTCTTTGGGGACTCCCAACTGGACTACTGGACTCAAAACTCCAACCACAGGGAAAATCACAGGGTTTGTGGTCTGACCTTGAAATGTTTGTATCGGAATTGGGCCTCCTAGACTGTTGAAGCTTGTGCAGTTCACAGCATGCCCAGATGCATAAGGCAGACACGACAGCTCACTGAGGCCTGCAGAGGACATCTATTACCATGGCAGAGGACAGAGAGCAGAACAAACTGGACAGCTCTCCTGGCAAAGCTTTAACAGCAAGTTATCTGTGTGAGTGGAGACTTAGGTGGACTATGTCAGCCAATGGATCCTGGAAGGATTTCCTCAACCTTGGAGCAACGAAATCAAGAGTGTCTCGGAACGAACAAATCCTCTTAAACAGTACCATAGGAACATGTTCCACATCAGAGATCCATCCCCATCCACAGGTACTGATGCAGTTAGGCTGCTGGGAACAGCCCTCTTTCCTCTTCTCCTCTCCTCCGGATACACGAAGAAAAACAAAAAAAAAGGAAGCAACTGTCTCATCTACTTTCTCTCTTCCCTTGTCCCTCCCCACCTTAATACAGTGGTCCTTCTCAACTATGTAAACATTATCAAGAAGATAAATTTATATATTAGAAAATTTTAAAAATTAGAAAGTTTTTACATATAAATTTGCATAGGGAAAATTCTGGAAGGATATATACAAACAAAATGTTTTTCTTTGCCTGCCTGCATTCTCTATTTTTCTGCAACAGATGCTCTAATTACACTTAAATAGAAAGCAAAACAAACCAACCAACCCTCATAATTTTAAATGTTCTTTTCCCTGGCTGTTTAAATAGCAAATACAATAACTCTGAATAGATGCTACAGGGATCTGGCATTGTGGCCCAGAAGGTTAAGCCACTGTCTGACAGTGCATCCAATATAAGCAATGGTTTGTATCCTTACTGCACTTCTTCCCATTCAGCTCCCTGTCAATGGCACAGGAGAAGCAGAGGAAGATGGTCCAAGTATATGGGTCCCTGTGCCATGTGGGACACCTGGATGAAGCCCCAGCTTCCTGGATTTGGCTTGGCCCACTGATGGTTGATGTGGCCAACCAGGGCATGAGCCAACAGATGGAAAATCATTTCTCCTTCTATCTCCGTAACTGTGACTTTCAAAATAAATAAATAAATGTAAAATCAAGAAACTCACACACAGGAGAAAAAAATTCTTAAATGCTTCTCCTCTACATCCTCCTAATTTGGACCTGAGGATTTAACAGCAATTCAACCAGAATTTTAACATCCTAGAAACCAATGTCATGATAGTCATTTCAAGTTCCAAAGTTCATAATATGCTAATCTGAACATAAAGTTTTCCTATCCACGTTGCTTAATAACTTTCTGAAACAGCTGATTCTTTAACATCTCTATATCCTAGTTCCTGTTTTAGTAGTTATTATCAAGCATGGCGAATTTAAAAGAAAAAAATACAACTCTATCTTACCGGTGGCAAAGAATGTCGTCCACATTCAATTGTGACGAGTTTGTGGCACTTCTTATGAACCAGAAGTTTGCAGTTGATGCACTTATATCCTTGGCGGCCAAGTCCCCATATTCGGTCTGTGCAGATGGCACAGTGAGCACGCTAGAAAAAGTAATTCCACAATATTTTATTAACAAAAATGAGTCATAATCATTTCCTACCAGTCTGCTTATAAAATAGTGAAAATAAATGGTTTCTCCAACTTAATTCTTTTCATCATGGCATAAACTTCCAGTTCATGGCTAAACAAAACAAGATTTCCTCATATGTAATTTTTCAAAAGCTATGAGGGTTCAGTAAAAAATAACACAAGGCATACTCTTTCTAAGTTGAAAAGTTCATAGTACAGCGTTGGCCATACATAGTACATCAATCCTCTGACTTCGGTGCCTGCATTCCATATAGGTACTGGTTTTAGCTCCAGCTGCTCTCCTTCCAGTTCCCTGAACATAGCATAGGAAAACAGTGGAGGATGGCACAAGGCCTTGGGCCCCTGTAGCCATGTGGGAGACCCACAAGAAGTCCCTGACTCCTAGCTTTAGACCAGCATAGCTCTGGCCATTGCACCATACGGGGAGTGAACAAACAAATGGAAGAATTTTCTCTCTCTCTCTCTCCCTCTCACTCTGTGTGTGTGTGTGTGTATAAGCCTGGCTTTTATGTGAAATAAAAAAAAATCACATATAAAAAAAGTTGAGAGTAATGAAAATAAAAAGTTAATTAAGATTGAAATCCTTGGGCCCGGCACGGTGGCGCAAGCGGTTAAGGTCCTCGCCTTGAACACCCAGGATCCCATATGGGCGCCGGTTCTATCCCTGGCAGCCCCGCTTCCCTTCCAGCTCCCTGCTTGTGACCCGGGAAAGCAGTTGAGGACGGCCCAAGGCTTTGGGACCCTGCACCCGCATGGGAGACCCAGAAGAGGCTCCTGGCTTCGGATCGGCATAGTATCGGCCGTTGTGCTCACTTGGGGAGTGAATCATCGGATGGAAGATCATCCTCTCCGTCTCTCCTCTCTGTATATCCGCCTTTCCAATAAAAAAATAATAAAAATAAATCTTAAAAAAAAAAAAGATTGAAATCCTATGGCCTTCTAGTCTATTCAGAGGTCAAAATGAAGCACTGCTTTATTAAAACATAATACCAAAAGTGATTTTCCTATAAGTCTTATTACATATCAGTACTGGGGCTGGCATTAGAAATTAGTAGAGTAAGCATCTGCCTGTGGTGCCAGAGACCCATATGGGTGCTGGTTTGTCCTGGCAGCTCCACTTCTGATGCAGCTCCTTGTTAATAGTCTGGGAAGGAAGCAGAGGATGGCCCAAATCCTGGGGCCCCTGCATCCATGTGGGAGACCCAAAGAAAGCTTTTGCTCCTGGCTTTGGATCAGCTCAGCTCCAGCCACAGAGTAAAACAGTAGGGAATATCTCTCTGTTTCCCCTTCTTTCTTTGTAACGTTGCCTTTCAAATAAAAATAAATAAATCTGGGCCCGGCGCGGTGGCGCAGTGGTTAAGGTCCTTGCCTTGCACGCCCAGGATCCCATATGGATGCCGGTTCTAATCCCGGCGGCCCCACTTCCCATCCAGCTCCCTGCCTGTGGCCCAGGAAAGCAATCAGGACGGCCCAAAGCCTTGGGACCCTGCACCCACGCGGGAGACCCAGAAGACGCTCCTGGCTCCGGATTGGCATAGCACTGGCCGTTGCGCTCACTTGGGGAGTGAATCATCGGCCGGAAGATTTTCCTCTCTGTATATCTGCCTTTCCAATAAAAATAAAATAAATCTTTAACATAAATAAATAAATAAATAAATAAATAAATCTATCTTAAATATGAGTACTGCTAAGAAAAAAAGTTTGGGGATCTCAGGTGGTGGTTTTTCTGTGCATTGAAGAATTTAGGACATAAATTCGCAGTTAACAAAAGATATTGAAATTATGGAACTCAGGAGACAGACTGCCTATTTTAAAGCTTTGGCTCCACCAAATGTGTCACCTGGGGCAAGTTACTTAATTGCTGTATGCTTCAGTTTTCTTATCTATACAACAGAAATATAAAGTTCCCATTTCACAGAGTGTGTACAAGGACTTCATGAGGTAGAGAAGTGAAGCAGTTGGAAAGGGCAGGGTACACAGTCAAAGCTAGACAAGTCTTTGCTATTAGTATCTTTCTGTATCATAAAAATAAATTCATAGCATTAAATAGTTTGCACCATAAACTAGGTTTGGTTCCTAGGCACCCGGAAATGTTTTTCAAAATTTAAATATTCTTATTGCTAGAATCATCCCAAATTTAATCATTGTATTTAAAGCTTCTTTTGTCATTAAAAATTATACATATACTGCCCCAGGCAAGCAATCAAGCTCAGCCCCACTGACTATAAAAGGAAACAAGACTTAATTACCAAACTATGTTTCTCTCATAGGAGAAAGAAAAAAATTAAGCCAAAGCCAGAAATTGTCAGCATGCAATAAATGTGTTTACCCTGTTGAACCTCTTGGCTTGAAAGGTATGGCCATTTGCACAATAAAGCTTTCTCCAGCGGCGTGCGCCTCTCCGATAGATGGATTCTGAAGAGAGATTACAAATTAAAAAGAAAAAAAGCCAAGTCTGAGTAAAAGTCACTTTTTAATTAAACCTGTAATTTTTTTCATTATATTCATTGCAAGTATATATATATATTGCTTAGACATTCAGAACTGAAAAAGTAAAAGTTTCATCAAGGGCATAGACAAAAATTATAACCTTGGCCTTCAGTACTGACAGCATCTATGGAACAAACTGGCAGGTGGGATCTTGTTTATCACTCCAATTCCTAATAAAAATTAACTTTAAAAAGATCACAAAATGTAAATATTTGGGGGTTGGCACAGTGGTGTATTTAGCTAATCCTCTGCCCTACAGCACCGCATCCCATATGGGTGCTGGTTCCAGACATGCCCGCTGCATTTCTAATCCAATTCTCTGATTCTGGCCTAGGAAAGCAGTAGAGGATGGCCCAGATCCTGGGGTCCTTGCAACCAGGGGAGAGACCCAGAGTAAGCTTCTGGCTCCTGGCTTCAGACTGACCCAGTGCTGGCCTTTGCAGCCATCTGGAGTCAGCAGATGGAAGATCATTTTGTCTTCCCTCTCTCTGGGAATGGACCTGTCAAATAAAAATCAACAAAACTTAAAAAATAAGTGACAAACTACACTGCATATGGAAGGCAGTAACTTATAAACAAACAGCTGCTTGTGTATATAAACACATCAAAATAGTGGAATGCTACTTCCAATTCACCCCATTAATAAAAATTCCCATAACAATTGCTAAGGGAAAATGATGACGTATTTAAAGGTAAAATGTTATGTTAGTTGGTCTGGAATAGCATAACAAAAAAATTAAAATAAAACAAGCATATTTTAACATACATATGCATGCCTATGTGTAAGAGAGACAAATCAAACCTAAAGCAAACAGGGAAAATGCTAAATGGAAAATCTGAGCATGACTTATATGAAGATTCTTATTTTAAATGTGAGTCCAATATATCTCTAGGTTTAAAATATCCAAACTGGGAATCAACATGGTGGAACAGGGTAAGGACACATTTAAACAGATGGAGAATCATTGGCCAGGGTGAAAAACAGACAGCACATTCTAGGAAACAGGAGAAGACAGGCCAACGGCAGAGGGGCACCAGGAGACTGACGGACACAGGAAAGCCATGGACACAACGATGTGGTGTAGCAGTGACCAGATACCACGGTGGCAGTCATGAGCAGAGTTCTGAGTTCCAACAGCAGCCAGGTAGGAAAGGGAATTCACTAGGAGCTCAGTAGGTGAACCCAGGTAATGAAGTGCCCATGCTGCAGATTTATTTGATTCAAACAGGAACAGACCCCAAACAGGCGGTGCAGAAACAGGGTGGATTTCACAACCCAGACCCCCATCAGAGCCAAATCAGGCAATATTGTATGAAGGGAGGTAAAGGCTGTGGGACTGTGCATGGACCAAGCTGGGAGCAAACTCATTTCTGGCTCAGTGCATTGCATCGACATGGTCCTGCAGGTTCTATCGAAAATAGGTCAGGGTAGACTCAAGACATGATGGCCAGCAGATCCAGAACTCCAGCAGTGGTACATCGGGTGTCAATGTTGTACAATGTGGCAAACGCTGTGACACTGGAGGGACAACAGTGAGTTGCCCATGCACAGAGCTGAGCTGGAAGCAAACTCACTTCCAGTTCAGTGCACTGCACTGGTCCCACATGGAAAATAATACCAACTTTGGCACCATAGGGGTCAAAATAGGTCCGGGTAGCCCTCAGACCTAACGGCCAGCAGGTTCTGACAAGATCAGCACCAACAACATGATAGTTATTTATGATACCTGGTATCTCCCTAATGTGGGAACTCCTCAAACCAGAAGTGGGAGAAAGGGGGGACAGACAATGGTGCAGCCACAGCAAGGGATCACAGGAGGTAGAGAGTGGCAAGAAGAGTTGGGGCTACAGAGACCATGGTGCAAGCCTAACACAAGGATCCAGACCAGAATCTTGCTGTTGGGAGTGGCACAAGTGACTGCAAACAAAGAGCTGCGTCCCAACCATAATATGTAGAATCAAACTGTACACCTGTGGGTGACACAGCTTAGAAACTTGCCTTAATGAAAAGAATTTGTTAACCAGAAGTACAATGACCAAGAGCAGAAGAAACAGGGGCACAATGAATGTTACTGAAGACTCCCCTGCAAAGGAGCAAAAGCCTTTGCCAGCCTCAGAGTTAACCAAGGAATACATGAAGGATGTAGAAGAAGAACTTTAAAAACTTGGTATAAGGCTTCATTATCAACAATAAGAAGCAATACAGGAAATTAAGGAATATCTCACACAAGGAAAAAGAACACTAAAACAAAATCAAGCAGAATTATTAGAAATGAAGAACACAATGGAGCAAATAAAAACTGATTGGAAAGTCTCAGTAACAAATTAAATGAAGCAGAAGAAAGAATCTCAGAATTGGAAGATATTTCTTGCCCAATAGTGAAACAATCAAAAAGCTGGAAGAGGAACTGAGACAAACTAAGAAAAGTATTCAGGAATTAAGGGACACTATCAAAAAGCCAAACATAAAAGTTATGATAGCTCCAGAAGGCACAGAAAGAGCTGGGTTTAAAAATGCATTCAATAAAATAATAAAGGAAGACTTCCCTAATCTGAAGAAAGAATTGGGAAACAACATCCAGGAGGGGCACAGAACTCCCAACAGGATTGACCAAAAGCATAAAACATGATGACCAAGCTCTCTTGAGTAAAACATAAGGCAACACCCTTAAATATACATATGAAAAACATCAAAGACCTATAGAGAACAGCAATCAGACTCACAGCTGACCTCTCACAGGAAACTCTACAAGCCAGAAGAAAATGGAGTGACATTCCAGATTCTAAAAGCAAACAATTATCGGCCCAGGATAACATACTTTCCTTTGTCTTTGAAAAAAAGACAAGATGACAAAGCTATCCTTTGTCTTTGAAAATGAAATAAAATTCTTCCACAGTAAACAAAAGCTTAAAGAATACACCTCTTCCAAACCTGCCCTACAAATGATACTTACAGATGTTCTCTTGACACAGAAGAGGAACAGCACCCACCAAAACCAAAGACAAACGTGAAGAACATCCCATTAAATCATCAATAGAAGACTAAATTACACAATGAAAAACCCACAATGAAAATGACAGGACCAAATTACCACCTATTCATATTAACCCTGAATGTAAATGGCTTAACCTCATTAATCTAATGTCATTGGTTAGTAGACTGGATTAAAAACAAAACCCATCTATCTGTTGCCTACAGGAGACACATCTCACCAACAAAGATCAGCAGAAACTGTATCTCATGGATTTTGATGTTTTTGCTTTTATTTCATTTCCTCAAAACATTTTTTTTCATATTAAATTCTTCACTGTCTCATAGGTCACACAGTAGCATCATTTTCTTCAAGAAGGTTCTTGATTTTTATTTCTTATCAACATATTAGATATTCAGTAGCATGTTATTTAATTTTATGGCATTGTAAATTTTTATTCGCCTTCTTGTTGATTTTGTTTTGTGGCCTTTCATTTAATGGGATGTACAGTAACTCTGTACTGGAGACTATAATATGTAGTAGCATGTTATTTAACTTCATGGTGTTTTTAATTTCTTTTTTCTGGCTGCTGTTGATTTTGTATTGTGACTTTTAATTTAAGGGATGTATAGTAACTGTGTAATGGAGACTATCATATCCAGAAATGAGAATACAATGCAGTATGCATCTCTACTTCCAGAATAAAGATGGACTTTCAACAAAACTGTTAACTGTATCTTGAATATAGGATGCTGGACTTTCTGCCATTATCCATGCCCACAATGATGGACTTACAAACTGTTTATGAAGAAGTATACTATAGTAATAATACAGGGGAAATCAGTGAGTGGGAGGGACAAGGGGATTTGCACAGCGGGAAAAGGAAATCCCTGAGCCTATGGAACTGTATCATAAAACCACAATAAAATAATGAGAAAAAAGAAGAAAAAAAAAAGAGAGAAAAATGTTTAAACCAAAAAGATAGGAAGACAAATAGCTTAAAATTATTTTTATTTAAGATGTCCTGTAAGTTGTAACTAAGAGCTATCTGAATTTCATCTGTTAAAAGAACAATTTAGTCAGTTGCTAATATTTAATTCTACATTCTGAAAAACAGAAAAAAAAAATGAACGTAGGGCTGAAGCTTGGCCGGCCAGGTTAAGTCACCGAGTGTGGCCCTGGCATTCCGTATGGGCAGCAGTGCGGAGTCCCAGCTGCTCAGCTTCTCATCTAGTACTCTGCCAATGCATGTGGGAAAGCAGCAAAGGAGGGCTCAGGTTGGGCCCCTGCACTCAACTGGGAGACCCAGAAGAACCTCCTCATTTTGGCCTTGGTCAGTCTGTCCTGGCTGATGAGGCCATTTGGAGAGAGAACAAGCAGATGAAATGAAAGGTGTTTGTATTGTTCTTCTGCGTTGTTCTTCTCTCTTTCCTGCTCTGTCTTCCAAATAAATAAATAAATACATAAATAAATATTAAATAAATAGCAAAGTGAATTTAAAATTCTATTTCCTATTACTTTTCACTTGTACTATCACATAACAACTTCTCCTGAACACAAAGCATATGAATACTCACTGTCTTCTCCTGGACAAGGCATTCCAGGACGTTCTGGTACACAAGGGAATACTGCAAGGAAATAAAATCAGTTAACAGTATATTTAGAATTTAAATTCCTCACCTAGAACAAGACACTCGGCACACAGTTAATATTAGTTGAAGGCATCCATTTTCCCAAGGCTACATAAAAGCTGTTCATAAAAACAAGCATATGTACAGACAAACATCAAAATTTCAGAATTAGTCATTTTAGTTCCCGTTATATCACTACTTTCATCCTTAAAAAAAAAAAACAATTTTTTCAACACATTTGCTACAACAACAAATTACCAAAATCTATGCAAATATGAAACATACAATATTAGTGGGGTTGGGCATCCTGGAGCAGTGAGTTAAGCTGTTGCTTGGGAGTCCAGTATCTCATCAGTCATGGCTCAAGCCCTTCTTCCAATCCAGGTTTTGCTAAAATGTCCTGGATCAAAGGGCTTGGGCCATGCCACCCAGGTAGCATACCCAGATGGCATTCCAGGCTCCTGGTTTTAACCTGGTCCAACCCTGCTTTGTGGGCACTCAAGGAATGAATCAGCAAATGGAAGCTCTCTCTCTTATGCTGTTGTTTTGCATTTCAATTATACATTGCTGAAAGCTTTTCAAAACTACAGTTTTTAGAAGATGTATAGGGGCCCGGCACAGTAGTCTAGTGGCTAAAGCCCTCGCCTTGCACATGCAAGGAGTCCATCTAATTACAGCTGCTCCACTTCCTATCCAGCCTGTAACTTGGGAAAGCAGCAGAAGACGGCCCAAAGCACTGAGACCTTGCACCTGCGTAGGAGACCCGGAAGAGGCTCCTGGCTTCAGATCAGCTCAGCTCCAATGTTGTGGCCACTTGGAGAATGAACCAGCAGATGAAAGATCTTTCTCTGTATATATTTGCCTTTCCAATAAAAAAATAAGTAAATCTTCAAAACAAAGACGAAAAATACTAAATTTAAAAATAACAGGGGGACCGGCGGCATGGCCTAGCGGCTAAAGTCCTCGTCTTGAACACACCGGGATCCCATATGGGCACCGATTCTAATCCCAGCAGCTCCACTTCCCATCCAGCTCCCTGCTTGTGGCCTGAGAAGGCAGTCAAGGACGGCCCAAAGCCTTGGGATCCTGCACCCGCGTGGGGAACCCGGAAGAAGTTCCTGGCTCCTGGCTTCGGATCTGCATAGCATCGGCTGTTGCGCTCACTTGGGGAGTGAATCATCGGATGGAAGATCTTCCTCTCTGTCTCTCCTCCTCTCTGTATATCTGACTTTCCAATAAATAAATAAATCTTTAAAAAAAAATAACAGGAAAGCACAAAACATTTTAAGTACAAGTTTACTTTAGAAACTATAAACTTACATACTAATTTGAATCATTTTTATGCTAGAATATAAAGCAACAGAAAATTTACAAACATTATGATGGCTGCCCAGGGCACTGGAGATGAACAGCTGGTCTGCTCCAGACCTGGCATGTCTCTCAGGCTTCAGCCTGGAACAGGAGGGGCCACAGGAGCCAGTTAGGCCACCAACCTGGCAGGATTCATTACATAGTTGGGACACAGACAGCCCCTTTGCCTGCCCACGTGTCTAGAGGGGTACAAAACTCCTTCACACGTATCTCAGCTGTCCTTTTTGCCTTCCTCTTCCTTCTCCTCTGCGCGAAGGGGGCCCAGGAGCAGATTTTCCAATAAAGATTCCATTACAACTCTGAACAACTTGCCAATATTATTCCACCAGTGGGCGGGCGGGCGGTGGTCATCATCTAACATTTGGTGCCAAAACCCAGGAAGGGGTGCGAGGGCTCCCTGAACTGGTTGAGCCTCCCCCTTCCTCTTTCCATCTCCGAGCCGCCAGCCCCAAGGCCTTTGCCGGCTAAGAAGTGACACAGGTAAGGTAAGCCCCTCTGCCCTGCTCCTCCTGTCCAGAAAAGTACTGCCCAACCTCCTGCAGACCCCCCAAATCATGTACACGTGGTCTGCCTGTCCAGAGCCCTCAGCGAGACAGGGAATGCCCTGCTCATTGACCAGCTCTCACCAATCCAGGGCCCTCAGAGGTGCGTGAGACGTCCCCCCTACTGAGTGGCCCTACTTAACGGGGAACCAGGTTCCCCTCTAGTCTAAATCTCAAAGCGGGGATGCCTTCTTTGTGTCTAGATTAGCAGTGAGATACTTTATCAGGACAGGACAGGCAACAAAATGTGCCCTGCCCATGGCCCCCAAACCTCCTTCGGGTGTTTATTGGCCAATTCAAAACTCTGGGTCTGGGCCAGGACTTACGCAGAAAACGCCTTGTCCATTTTTTAACTGTGGCCTGGCCACGGTACGTGTTGGACAATGGCTCCAAATGGCCAGCAGAAGGCACGTTTGACGCTCATATCCTCACGGAATTGGGTAATTTCTGTCGTCGCGAGGGTAAATGGTCTGAAGTTCCTTATGTGGAACCTTTTTGGAATCTCCGTTCCTGCCCTTCCCTATGATCCCCCTGTTCCCCGACTCAGGTTCTCCTGGCCAAGGCAAAGCCCTTTCCGTCTCCCAAGGATCTTGGACTTTTTAACCTAACCATACCTTTTCCGAGACGTCAGAACTCTGAGGACTCAACCCAGCTCCGTCTTCTCCTTCCCACCTGCTTCTCTGCCAGCCTCCTGACCAGCACTTTTCCAGACTCCCTCTTCACTTCCTGAGTCGCCACTGGATTCCAATGTCACTTCTGCCTCACCTTCTGTTTCTCTGCTATGTTCCCACCCCTCCCTTATTCCATCTACTCCCATCTCTTGCCCCTCCTTATTCCACCTAATCCCATCCTTCTCTTTGTTCCTCCTTTTTCTCCACTTGCTGCAGAGGGTCCCTATCTTGCCCAAGGACCTCTCTGACTTCTACCTCCCATTTTCTCTGGTTGGCCCTCCCCCACTCAGAACCTTCCTCCTTCATATCCTTCACTTCCTGCGCAGATACCAAGTTCCCAAGCCTATGCTCTCCACTTCCTGCTCTGACGCCATCTTCCCAGCTCCCCTCCCTTCTTCCATGTGGTAGGATCCCATCCACCATCTTGCCTTTCTCCTACACCCGATGGGAGCCTTCCCACCATCTTGCCTTCCTTCCTTGCCTTTCTCCAATTTCATCCTCAGCCTAACCTGCTCTCCTTCTTGGGTTCCTCTGACTTAACCCCAATAATGCCTGTTTCTCAGCTGCTGCAGCAACTGGTTTTAACTGGTTTTTTTTTTTCCTTTCGTCATCCCCACTCTCACCCCTTAGCTAAGAGGGGTGGGGTAAAAGATAAGCTAATTAACTCTATCAAAAAAAGAAAAAACAAACAAACCTGTAACTTGCTACATTAGTTCTGTAACTTAACATTTGTATATCAAAATAATCAAGTACACAGTTGCTCTAATCCACTGCTAACTTATTCCAAGCCACGAGGTAAACCCATGTGTTCTTACCGATTGTTTTACAGAATATTCCCAGGTTAAAGCATGTCATAGAAGGAATGAGAAGTCATGAAAGTTTTGAAAGGAATACATCTTGTATGGTTTATGTGCAATGTAATTTATCATTGTCCTTAAAATTGCCTATAGCATTTTTCTAAATATTTATCATTGATATTATTGCTTTTTCTAATGTACAATTTAAGCTAACCGTAAACCTGTGCTTGTTTCAAATTTGTAGCAGACATCAGACCTTTGGCAAATGTTTTCTAGAACTTCTACTTGAGAGTTTTTACTTGACAATGATATGTAATTAACCTGGTGTTTCCAACTCCTTTTTTCACTCCTCTCTTTCTCTCTCTGACACTAAGAGACTCAGGCTGCAGAGTTTGATCTCCAGACCTTAAAGGGATGGCTAACTTGTCAGACCAAGGAGCCTAATTATCTTCTCGTAGCATTACCTTAAAACTACCAGGACTATGCCTGTAACTACAAATTCCTAGATCAGTCCATTAAGGAATTCAGGGATAGAATAGAGCATCCCTTTGGCTGACATCCCGTCATTGCCTCTGTGGCCCACTTTAACTGGAGCCCAGAGGAAGAGTAGTGAGCTAGGCATCAGGAGGCTCATTAATGTGGCTTTATACAGTAACGTGTTCTCCAGAAGACCCAGTAAGGCTAGTCTACCCTCAAGTAGCACCTGCTTGCAATATGGGAAGCCAGAATACTGGGCAACCAGCTGCCAGTGATAGAAGTGGCTTTCAAAGAGTCTTGTTAGCTCTGCCAAGAGCCAGGCCACTAGAAATGGAACTGCCGTGGGGGTCAAAGTATTCCTGGGTCAGAACCATGGTGGGCCAGTAGCTAGAAAGCCCTTCACTCTGCCCAGCTCCCAAAGCATCCATCGCTATGGAGGGATGGCCTGGGGTCAGCAACATTACAGGTAAAGCTCTATATTCCGTCCAGGGACACCATCTGTTCTGTACCAGCCTCCCTTTCAGGCCAGCTCTCCTCTCTGTCCAGCCAGGTAATGGGAGTCAATGGGATGTCTCCCCAGTTTCACACTTTATGATGTCTCTTCCAGTACCCCACATGAAGAGATAGATGGTTCTGGACCTTACATGCACCCGGGCAACTTTTGGATTTGGGTAACAGCAGAACTTTCCTGGGTGCATCTAGGCTTGAAACTCCAAGTGTCCGTGTGTGTAAGACCTTAGAAACAGTTTTTACTAGCTGGCACTGTAACCTTGAAGGCCACTGTCTACTGGAACCCTGGCCTTACCATAGGCCCTTATTTAGCTCCTACTAGCAGCGAGAGTCGTTGAGCAGAGGAAGGGGAAGAATACAGGATTAGAAGCAGGCCAGACTATTCATCCTGTCTGTTTCTCAATGCCTCACTAGATAATCTTAACCAGTTTTCATGCGTGCTCCTACCTAAGCCTCCCCACTAATTCCATACAACAAAAGCCCGGGACATCGGGGCCGAGTAGAAGTGTCCCCAGTTCTCTGCCAAAGTCAAACGGACACTCCATCCAAAAATGGCCAGAATGCAGAGTCTGCACAGAAGGTCAACACCTGCCATGATGATCCATTTGTCACCACAGAGGCAACCCAAA